AAAAGGCTGTATTGTATATTTTATAATATATTTTATAACTTAATTAATTATTTATTATTATTCTTTTATCTTATTGCTTTGTTCTCTTCAGAAGGCCCAGTGAAAGATTAGTTTTAACGAGATTAGTTTTAACTAAACTGGTGTAATTTTAAATTACTTTTTAAACCTTCTTTAAATAAAGTTTTATTATTATTAGGTATACAGCCTTTTGCAAAAATTATGAGAATTGTCTAAATATCTAAATATCATAATATCCATATCCATATATTGTCCGGAACACGCGGGTTTGCTAGAATAATTCATTGTTGACATCGAGAAAATGTTCAGAACTACGGATAAGTCAATCGCCAAAAAAAAACTAAACTAGAAAGACAAGGGACTAAGGGCATCGCGCGGGATTACCCATCATGCACTCGATATTATGATATTTAGATATTTCAACAATTCTCATAATTTTTGCAAAAGGCTGTACCTAAAGAAGCTGGCTCTAATTTGAAACCCCTTTCAGACCAGAACAGAACACAAATAAGACTCTTACTATCCGAACTAAAGCTCATAATAGTAGATGAGATTTCAATGGTTGGAATACTACACTATTGCATATCCATCAAAGATTAAAAGAAATATTTAACACACCTGCCTCTAAATTGTTTGCTGGCATAAGTATCATTGCAGGGGATGATTTTTATCAACTACCACCGAAAAGGAAAAAAAAACAGTATTTGACAATTTTAACATAGAAACATGTAATTTGTGTCACCCATGGCATCTTTTTAGAATGAAAGAACTTATTGATAATATGCGTGCAAAAGATGACCCGCCATTCATTGAGATGTTAAACAGATTTCGTACTGCTTCTCAAACTGGGCAGGACATTAAGCATATTCAATCACGATCAATAGATCCAGAAGACCAAAATTATCCATCAGACGCTATACATATATTTGCAGAAAATAAACCTGTTGATCAACATAACAACAACAAACTACATCAATTATCTGGAGCAATGTTTACCCTTAGAGCAACCGATAAGCATCCCCCAAATGTATCTCAAGCTGATATCGACAGAGTATTATCAAAAGGGCGTTCTGATACTGGTGGACTAGATTATGTCATACATGTCAAAGAAGGAGCAAGAGTTATGCTAACAAGCAATATTGATATTGCAGACAGACTTATCAATGGTCAAATAGGTACTATAAGTAAAATACATCTCAACCAAAATACACAAAAACCACCAGTTATTTACATAAAATTTGATGACAATAAAGCTGGCAATAGTATGATCACTAAATCTACAAATCAATTTGTTAAGAATAACCATGTTGTACCCGTCCCATTGAACCAATTTTAGCTAAAATCAAAATACGACCCGGTAAACCATCTTCACCTGAAATTCAAAGAGTACAATTTCCTTTAACATTAGCTTATGCAGTCACTATACATAAAATTCAGGGTCTCAGTCTTGATAAGGTTGTAATAAGCTTTGAGTTATTTCGACAAAGGTCTTTTAACTATGGACAAGTTTATGTTGCCTTAAGTCGCTCACGTTCCTTGAATGGTCTATACACCTTAGGTCAATTAGAAGCTAAACATGTCAGAGCAGATCCAAGGGTACATAATGAATATCAGAGATTACGACACACTCTGCCTCTTGAGCCACCAAAAACTTCTTCAGAGAAAAACTTGAATACAACAGTTACTATTTGTCTCCTAAATATAAGGTCATTGCAAAAACACAGTATTGATGTAAAACATAACTCAAATATATTTGATTCTGATATGATTTGTTTTACAGAAACACAACTATTATCTAGCAGCAATGATACTGACATTAAGGACAATTTGCATCCATTTAAACTAATAAGACAAGACCACACTTCAGATAGGTATTCCAGTTTAGCACTGTGTTCAAAATCTCATATTGAAATCATAGACTATCAATACCTTCCTGAAGTAAATGCAATGCTATTCTCTGTTGTTCATAGTATGATACCACAACTAAACATCTCAATACTTTCACTCTATTTAAAGAATGGCCGAAATATACCTCAATTCATATAAAATCTAGACAGCATCCTAAATAGATGTAAAATTTATATTGTTTTAGGAGACTTCAATATGAATTACCTTAATAATAAAGAAGTCCAAGCCCTTAGTACTATCATGGAACAATTAGACTATGTGCAAACAGTTCAAGGTCCAACATTTATATCAGGCAGTTTACTTGACCATGTGTATATACGAAGTGATATGTTTTTGCGACATTTCTACAACTGCAATACCAGTATATTACTCAGACCATGAAGCAATCAAGATCTCATTAGTATCTGTTTTATAAATATTTGAAATAAGCTTAATATCCAAAATCAATATACTGTCTTAGAAATTATTTGAATGATAATTTTGCACCAAATAATCAAGACATTGATAGCGAACCAAAGAAAGATAAACATAACTGCAGCGACACTGATGAAACTATTAGTAGTTCCAGTATAAGCAATGATATCACTCATAACTGTCAATCTGCTATATTATTTTATTGCCTATGTTTTTCTATCATAAAACCATGTAATTACTGGAAATCAGATACTTTGAATTCTATTGCTGAGCAAGGAAAAAACTGTCCAATTTAAGTCAACAGTGTTTTTCTTTTAATGCTTTGCCACAAAAACTAAACATATATGATGCAGAAGTCCTTATTGATCAGAACAATGAAAAGCATGGAAAACTGACTGACTTAAACAAGGAAGAATTACATGACTTAAGAGGCCGTCTCTCTAAAAACCACCTATCGACCTTGGGGTCGAAAAATCAATCATCCTGATATGAGTGTGTGAATTCCCTATTATATACCTATTACAATTACGCATTTGGAATTTTGAAAAAATATTTATTTTACGAATTTTCGCATTTTCTCCATGTGTCGGTGTCAAAGCCCTTCAACGGTGTCTGAGGCGGCTAAAACATCACTAACTTGGATGATCTATAACTTCCTCAAACTAAAATAAAAACCAACCAAATTTCCCAGTGACCTACAATCCTAGACAAAACTTAATTGCACACCAACGCTATTACTGCGCTCTAGCAGATGCGCTCTCTTATGGGCTGTTTTAATGCTTACTCAAAGCCTCCCCCTCCCCCCCACAGTCAATGTTGGTTAACAATGTTGTTGACGGAAATGTTTCGGTATGGAAGGAGGGTTTGTTTCGAGCCCAACATTGAAAATGGGGGGCCACGGGGGGGAAATTGTCAGAAGTTTTAGTAGACATACACTTTGTCCAATGGGCCACGGGGGGAAATTGTCAGAAGTTTTAGTAGACATACACTTTGTCCAATGAATTTTGTCCATGATTGTAGCAATTTATCTTGTCTTTGATAACTGTGAAGCATTTTGTCGTATCTATTTCGAATCATATGAAAGTTGATTTAAACGTAAAACGTTTTTTCCGGCTTTTGGCAGAACCAAGGAAACATGACAATTGTAAAAATTATTTTCTCGAAAGTGGCACCTGACTGAGAGTGGAGACTTACATGGGAGGAAAAAGGAAGAATTGAACTATTATWAGACGCAAAAAAATTGTAACCTACCTAAATCCAAGGCCGCAAGCAGCAATCAAAGTTGAGCACTTTTCGTGCCAATTAGCATATTTGACTACTAACACTGTCTGGACCGCCGTAGTGTTGGACTCCACTTGAGTTTTCAAAACAACAAAATGTTGGCATAGACATCGTCAGAAACACCTTGTTAACAGTTTCTCGTTGTTTGTTGATATTTAAATGAGGCTTTTCGAGTGTTATTTTGTCTCCATAACATATAGTTCAACACAGATCAGTCGCTACGAGCTTTTGGCGTAGGATCTCGAACTAAAGTTGGCGTATACAAATGCACTTGTCATTCAAAAATCAATTGAATTTACTTTTCCTTGTGATGATCTTCTACAATACCTGAGAGACTCTTGCAGTGTTTTTCAAGTAGTTCATACCTCTTCAGTGTTCTATCATTCCTCAACAAGCCGCTTAAAGCAGAACTCAATTGAGCCCAGGCCACCCGCCACATGAATATTATTTTTGACTCGACCCGACCCGATACGATGTAATATTGTGCCGGTATTTTCGTCTTTGTGAATTCATAAGATAAGCCTAACTACTAGTGCAAATTTGATGTAGTTATTTTAAGTGTTTGTATACTTTCAATTAAGATAAAATTATTTTCAAAAATAAAAGCTTTGCAGATGAATGACAGGTTGTAGATTACAATGTGATAACAAAGTGATAGTTTAAAGGGTTACTTGGACGTATCTGGGAGCATTTTTGTAAAATCCTGAATCATCAATCTTAGAAGCTGAAACTTCTCACAAACAAAGATAAATAAACGAATAACCACTCTACGAAGTTTTGTCTTGAAACTCTTAAAGGAAGTATTAAATATAACGACTTTCGTTTACGTCCGCCATTCTTGGCCTGACTCACGGCCAGAAGCTACTTTTGTACAGCGGTCTTCTCTATGAAACGTCATT